ACATGAGGAACTGTATTAAAGGGTTGTGGCATTAGGAAGATTGAGAACCACTGCTTTAGCATAATGGTGACTCTCCATCCATCTCTTTGACTTCTGAAAACCAAAGCCCGACCGGTGATTTGGAGCTGTGCTCAGTAATGTTTGCTGGGGAAGCCCCACAGAGGCGTGCTACCAAGCCCAGACGATACAGCCTGCTTCCTAACAACTCCTCGAAGTGGCTGTGGCTTTGTTTCTACTCTGGGAGCTCGGTGTGCTTGGTGAACTTGTTCGTCAGAAGTCTAGGTCCTAGGTGAGAATTTTCATTTCACAACTCATTCATCACAATACTCCAAGCAAATGTGAATTGCTTCGCCGCTTTGGTCATAAGTTCTTACTTTCTTTCCTGCTACTCCTCAGTCCTGCTACCCTGTACTCTGTCCCTGCTTTACCATACAACACCCTATAACACGACATCTTGTGTGTATTTGTTTGCTGTTGCTATGAGACACAGTAGCACAAGCTTTGAAGGCTGAAACCACACATATCTGTTGTCAGGCAGATTCTCCGGGTCAAGGGGTCGGCGTTCGGGCGGGCTCAGGGGGGTCCTCTGCACAAGATCTCACAGGTTGTACTCCAGGGGTCAGCTGGTCTGTGTTTCCATCTGCAGGCAAACGGGGGCAAACATCCATTTCCAAAGCATGCAGGTTGTTAGCAGAATTCATGTCCTTGCAGTTGTAACACAGGTGGGGGTGGGCTCAGCTTCTTGCTGACTGCTGGCTGGAAGCCACCTGAGTTCCTAGAGGCCACCTGAAGTTCTTTGACACATGGGTTTTCCCTGCGTGGTCACTTAATTCACCAGGCCAGAAAGGAGCGCCCCTAGAAGGAGTCTGCTAACAAGATAGAGGTCTGTTACCAACGGTAGTGAAAATATTCGCCTATAAGAGACGCACATCAGTGGCATTGATCACACTCCTCGTTGCACAACTGTCACCACTATCCATCTATGACTTCTCTTTCCCAACCCTTCATCCCACCGCTGCTGACCACAGATAGCCTCTGATCTCTCCCTATGGTCTCTCTAGAAACTCTAGACCAGGGGTTCCCCACCTTCCTCATGCCACGACCCTTGAATACAGTTCCTTGTGTTGTGGTGACCCCCCAGCCATAAAATTATTTTTGTTGCTACTTCATCACTGTCATTTGGCTACTGTTATGAATTGCGCGACCCCTGTGAAAGGGTTGTTCGACCCCCAAAGGGGTTGCGACCCACAGGTTGAGAGCCGCTGCTCTATACCCATGGAATGTTCCCATCTATGGCCTCTCTTTACTAACATATTTTACTCTGCATCACCGCTTCGAGCTTCATGCAGGCTGTAGCCTGTGTCAGGACTTTCTGGCAGACATCCCTCTTTATGGCTGAGTAATATTCCACTGACTAGATATACCACCTTGTTGATCCGTTTATTTCTGGACAGCTATTTCAGTTGCTTGGACCTTTAGCTCTTGTGAGTAAGACCACAGTGACCCTCGATGTGTCTGCTTTCATTCCTGCTGCCAATGCTTTGGGGTTCACACGAGTGCCTGGACTGGGAGGGCTGGGCCGGGCCAGCGTTCTTTGTCTAAGTCTTTGAAAAAGGAATTTCCACACCCTGTCAGGTTCAAAGTACAGTTTACTGCCGACTTCTTGGGGACCTGTGATTCCCACAAGAATGAGAAATTTTAAAAACAGAAAGCATAGGGCCAGATAGGAAGTGTTTTCCCGCCACTTACGTCGGGGTGTAAGAGATTGCAACCCTCTCCCCCACCTCACTTTTTCCATCAAGTCTTGGAAAATGAAACGGGAAATAATACTTCAGAAAGCCATCACGGTGCAGCTTCTGTGGCTGCAGCGCTCTGGAGCAGGCTCTCGTGACTCCGTCTTCGAAAACTCCAGCCTTTTTCAGTGTTCCGTTTAGTCTTTCGTTGGCTTGTGTCCTGCTTGTGTGGTTGTGGTTGTGTTGCAGAACCCGGTGGGTGGGGCGGTGGGGGAAGCCGTGAAGATGAGGAAGTGTGTTGAGGAAGGCAGCCCGAAGAGAAAGGGAGGGAAACCCTGCATTGTGAGGAAGGAGCCCTTCTCTCGAGACCTGCCTCGGCCCCGCCATCAGTTGGGTGGCTTCTCGGCAAATGGGTGTTCCCTCTCTGAGCCAAAATGCCCTCTGTGGTTAAACAAAAAGACACTAAGGGCTTGGAGATGCAGTGGCCCTAACATTTGTTTCAACTTCCTTACTTTTACCCTCATTCGCTCTTCGCAGCATCCAGGCCAGTCGGTCCCTAAACTCATGGTGACCCGAGACCCAGGGCAGGGAAAAGCTGCCCGCACCGGCACCATCTCCACGGTCCACTGCAGAAACATTGGCTGTGATGCAGGTGATCGCCACAGTATTTTCATTAGCGGATTTGCTGGGCCTCTTGTCCCGGTCTGTCTGCATCGCAGAGCCCACCTGAAAACCTTGTGCAGCACGTTAGCAACATGCAAGCCTCCACTGACAGAGAGGTGGTGGCTGGCTGTATGTGAGTTTCATCGGTCAGGACTTGAACCTGGGTCTCCACGGGGAAGGCGAGAAGGCGACCACTGAACCCACAGGGTTCCCGCAGGGCACTTCGGGTGCACTTACTACCTCTGCTTTACCCAGCAGGGATCCGGTGGCACTCAGCTCAGAGGGGCTGGTTGAGGAGGCATGCAGACACAAATCTGTTGACTTCCAACCTTGGGTGGTGTTTTCTCTTATATGGTGCTGACATTTTTAGCAAATAGCATAGAAAGATAACTTTCTATTTTTAATTTAATGAACTATTTAAA